ACAAAACAAAAGTATTTAAGTGTGGAGGATGTTTGAAGATCATAATTATTGAAACACTTTAACCGACTCTGTAACTCGTTACCCAAGGTAAAAAGTTAAACGCAAACAACTTTATTGATAAATGTATTGTTTCTACTTTAAAAAATACTAATGGGCCTTGAAATTAAAGAAGTTTTAAAAATTTTCTTGAATTTTTTTTTTAGTAAAATGAGAATAATTTATTCGCATTCGAAAAAATTGTTTCCGCGTATTTTTTAGGGTCAAATATTTCAAGTTAATGTATTCAAAAAGCAGGAATTGCTATTTTAAGAACGAAACATTTTCTTATTTAACAACATGGCGGCTTTAACTTTGTTGTTTTGGAGATTAAGATGGAGTAGTTCGAGTAGTCGCATACTGGACTAATAAAGTCGCAGTTCGGCCTTAACAGGTAGTATACTAGTCGCAAGATTGCCTAATTTAGTCATTCTAGAGTCTAGCTTGTGCCGCCCTCTATAATCTAAATAAACGAGGAAGTGTCGGTAATATATGTCGATGTATATTTAAATTTAGTTTTATATGTACCTTTCTTATGTCCCATTTTAATTAAGTTTTTTTTTTATAAAAACAAAAACAGCACTGAACTGTCTGACTGAACAGAACAATGAATTGAAAATTTAAGATTTAAGGTTATGGTTCAATACAGTTGCAAAAAGGTAGTGACTCTACGTCCTACCAACGTAAGAATAAGGAAATCTAAACAACGTTGGAATTAGTAAAACAGACGACGTTTGCATAACGTTGGAATAGGTCCTGAAACTGACGTCGGAAAACTCTATATTATCCAACGTTGTAACTACGTTGTCCAAATCACCTAAAGATCACTTAAGCAAAAAAGGTTACAAGACAACGTTTATTCGACGTCGCAGAAGCTTCTACTTTGCTGTAGTACAAGTCCAACGTCGGCACAACGTTATAAAAATGTTTAAATTTATTTTAATACCTAAGGTAGGGAGCTAACTATTTTTTGTAACTAATCCAACGTTGTGTTTAGTAAACATGTGGTCGCAAGTCGTGAAAATGCTACTTGGGTATAGTGATTGTGATTAGTTGGGGAATAAAAAATTAAATAAAATATTAAAAATAGTCATAGCCATTTGAACACCTTGTATATAATAAAACCATATAAGCATTCAACTTGAAATACGTACTTTGATTGGTGATATAAACGTTCAAAATATTTTTTTACCAATAAGAATTTAAAATAAAATCATGTTCTTTTTTCGTACTTATTAAATTTACACCCTGTATAAAAAATACATATCTATATACTGTGTGATTGAATAAAACGAGATTCATCACACTTTATTTAATTATAGGTTACTTTATTTATTTATAGGTACTAAGGGTTAAAATAAAATTAATTAATAATTTAATTATACAGGGTTGATCACCACATACGACACGGAGTATTGTAGCTAAACGATTAGATTTTTACAAATTGTAAGTTTTGGGTTCGTTGAAGGACTATTAGAACTACAGTTTAAAAATATTTTTACAAGATACAGAGTGTCCCAAATAAATAAAAAATATCAAAGTTGTATTTTTTTAAATGGAATACCCTGTATATTATTACATTTTTAGTTTCTACGATTAAAATAAACGTAAATTTGATAAAGGTTTATTACACTTAAACCTTACCGTTTTTGAAATCTTTTCAATTTTGTGAAATTGCAGTCAAAATTTTAAGGCTTCACTTCTCCAAGGGTATCAAAGTTTTTAATACTAAATATTTACTGAAGTTTATTTATTGATCAGTTATTGTGTTGCAATAATAAAAATTATACTACCTTATACAGAGTGTCTAAAATTTTATTTTACATAATTACTAGCTTTAAACGGCAATAACTTGTTAAATTTAAATGGAACACCCTGTATATTTTATGAGAATCAGATGCACAATTTAATTGTCTATCAAATTGTATTATACCATTTTTTACCTATAGCTTCAAGTTTCCGTAGAAAATGCATTTTCATGTAATTTTAAATTCATTTATCAATATACCCATGGAATACTGACATTTTAGATTATTTTTAAAGATGTACCAAATTTTTAAAGAGTACAGATACTAATATTGTCGATATAGTTTGTTTATTTCATTAAAAAATAGAAAAAAAAACTGTTTAAATATTTGTTAAAGAGGACCAATTAATATGATTCCAGTATTCAAACTACATTAATTGACTGTTTGCGTTGATTAATAATAATTGCTCCAAAAACTAAAAAACTGAATTTTTTATGTGTATTAGACAGTGTGGTAAAAAGTAACACCTTAAAAATGATATTTCATTTTTTGACAAATGCTTATTTGTAACAACAACATATTATTATATTAATTTCTGATTCAAATCCACATTTATTTAGAATAATTTATTCATGAATATAATTAAGTATGTAATTAATTAGTATTTGAGCGAAAATAATGGTGGTATATTTAATTAATGGTATACTCTTTTATGAAGATTTAAATAGTTTTCTTTTTGCATACAAATGGGCTAGTAATATTATCATTTTGCTAAAAACGATAATATTAATATTACATTTTGTTGTACATTCGTTGCTTTAAAACAATCTAAAATTCAATATTCCATGGGTATATTAATAAATGAGGTCTAAATTATAAGAAAATGCATTTTCTAGGAAAACTTGAAGGGATAGGTAAAAAGTGGTATAATACAATTTGATAGACAATTAAATTATGCATCTGATTCTCCTAAAATATACAGGGTGTTCCATTTAAATTAAACAAGTTATTGCCGTTTAAAGCTAGTAATTATTTAAAATAAAATTTTAGACACTCTGTATAAGGTAGTATAATTTTTATTATTGGAACACAATAACTGATCAATAAATAAACTTCAGTAAATATTTAGTATTAAAAACTTTGATACCCTTGGAGAAATGAAGCCTTAAAATTTTTACTGCAATTTCACAAAATTGAAAATATTTCAAAAACGGTAACGTTTAAGTGTGATAAATCTTAATAAAATTTACCTTTATTTCAATCGTAGAATCTAAAAATAGAATAATATACAGGGTGTTCCATTTAAAAAAATACAACTATAGCATTTTTTACTTATTTGGGACACTCTGTATCTTGTAAAATTATTTCTAAATTGTAGCTCTAACAGTCCTTCAACGAACCCAAAACTTAAAATTTGTAAAAATCTAATTGTTTAGCTACAATACTCCGTGTCGTATGTGGTGAACAACATTGTATAAAAAATGTTATTTTAAATAAAGAAAATGAGATTTCATCTTTAAAAATATGATTTATTATTGTTAATTCTATAAATTAACTTTTATATGACTGAGATGTATCGATATATTGTTCTTAACCTATTAAATGATTTATTTGTTTTTTAAATTCAAGTTTTTTAGCTTGTTTCAAACTGACTTAAGCATGTTACACTGTCCTGTCTTGTGGACCAAATATCTCTATGTACTCTAGAACTCTAGAATCTAGAATTAGATTATAGATATATGATAGAACATAGATGTCAAAAGAAATGGCATGAAATAAAAAAATGAACAATTTATTTGAGTTTTCTTTATTTTTATGGCACCACAGTCTTTTTTATTCACGGGGTTGGAAATGATTGATTTACTAATATCGCTATTAAAAAATAGGGGTTGATGGTAGAAGAGTAAAATATAGGGTTGTATGTATTTTTTAATGCCGCATTATAAAAAAAATAAAAATAAAAAATTTTGTCCGAAAAATAAAAAAATAAATTTGGGTGGACCACCCTTATCGCTTAGGGGTATAAAAAATATACAGGGTGTTTCAAAACAAATGCGAAAAACTTCAGGGGGTGATTCCTTGTTCAAAATAAAGGGTAGTTTGCTTTATAAATGTTGGGTCAAAAGTCAACCATTAGGGAGATATCGCGGTACAAAGATGGCGGAAAAATAATGTTTTTATTTTTTATCTTGAAAACGAAAAGAGATAGACTAATGAAATTTTATGGAAGCATTACTGTTATGAAAACACACTTTCAGGTAATTTTTTTACTTTTCTAAAATGAGTGGAAGGGGTTGAAATAAACTACCCCTATCATTCTTGTTAACGAAATTTAAAGAAAAATCTTATCAAACACATGCAAATGCTTTAATTTGGATAGTTTAGTTTGTTTAGTAACTTTTTTACCTCTTGTGTTTTTTTGATAAAACTCACCGATTGGAAATTAAAAAATAAAATGTAAAGCACTACATGTCAGGACAGAAAACATTTTTAGATTAAGAATCTAGTGATAATAACGATAATAATAATCATCTAGATAATAACGTATTGCAGTAGAGTAATGTCAAATAAAATAATATTAGGAACATCCTAAAAAGTAACAGCGGCCGACTAGATTTCTTCCTAAAAAAATTACAGCAGCCCACTAGATTCTTTATCAGAAAATGTTTTTTGTCCTGACATGTAATGCTTTACATTTTATTTTTTAATTTCAAATCGGTGAGTTTTATCAAAAAATAGAAGAGATAAAAAAGTTTCTAAACAAACTAAACTATCCAAATTAATTTTTTTGCATGTGTTTGATAAGATTTTTCTTTAAATTTCGTTAACAAGAATGATAGGGGTAGTTTATTTCAACCCCTTCCACTCATTTTAGAAAAGTAAAAAAATTACCTGAAAGTGTGTTTTCATAACAGTAATGCTTCCATAAAATTTCATTAGTCTATCTCTTTTCGTTTTCAAGATAAAAAATAAGAACATTATTTTTCCGCCATCTTTGTACCGCGATATCTCCCTAATGGTTGACTTTTGACCCAACGTTTATGAAGCAAACTATCCTTTATTTTGAACAAGGAATCATCCCCTGAAGTTTTTCGCATTTGTTTTGAAACACCCTGTATAACAACCTATTCTCAGACCTACTGAATATACATATAAAATTTCATCAAAATCGGTTAAGCCGTTTCGGAGGAGTATAGTAACTTAAAATTGTACACGAGAATTTTATAAATCAGATTATATTTACAAAAAAAATATACTATAATTTGTTAGAATATTTATCGGAAATCATTCGTACCATTGCACAATCTTCTACTACTAAACCTAAAAAAATAACGAAAACATGCTTTAATTAAAAATTGACTTTAGTAAAAAAATCTTTATGAACTACAATTTTGACATACTTGTAATAAAAATCCTGAATATCGGATGTAAAAACTAAGGTTTATTATATCTCAAATTGAGGGTCTATTATATTTCTGTAAACAAACTTTAACAGCCAAACGAAAAAGAAAATAAAGAAAAACAATAAAGAACAGTTTATGGTAATGGCAAGTGTCCTGGAAAATTCCTGCGATCAAAATGGAAATTCTGGAAAATTCAAATAAAGACCCAAATATATGAAGCTTTTGGTTTTTCCATTGAAACGCAACGGATAAAAGAAAATAAAAGAGGAATTAATGGAATTGTTTTTATAAAGAATTAAAAATTTATAACTTAGGCATATTAGTGATTTTTTTAAACTGCCAGCAAAATAAAACACTAAAAACCTAATTCACCAAACACGTAATCTCTAAATAGAGAGCTAGATACTATACTAACTTACCTAAACTTTGAAACACAGTAAGCGTTTTAGGGGAAGGTTGACTAACTTGACCCAAAACCACTTCCCCTATTTCGGTTCCAAGATCCACTCCTAGACTTTTCAGTTTTTTCAGTTCAATCTCCGCAGAGTTCTTATGATCAACGTATAGCTTTGCTTTTTTGTAGATTTCTGAGTCTAGTTCTAAGCCGCTTGAAGTAGATACACCAACAGCTGCAATTAAAAAAGGATTAATATTAATCTATGGTAGAAATAAAAACACTGTAATATGGTTTTTACCATTAATATGAGCAGTGCTCTTAATCCAGTCGTATTTAACTATGGGAACATCACTAGGAATTGTAGCAGTGACTATAACGTCTGCATCTGTTACACAATCCCTGTTATTTTCGAAAAATTTGAATTTATCTGTTTGAAACTTTTTATTCAAGTTATTAGTCAAAGTTTGTGCCTTTTTACTTGTACGGTTCCACAACCTTATCTAAAAATGAATAAAAAATAAGACATGTTTTATATTAAATATAATGCTTAAAATCTGTACCTCATCAAAGTTAAAGTAATTATAAAATGCTTCAGCATGAGATACACCCTGTTCACCTAATCCAAGAACAGACAGAATTTGGCGACGTTCTTGTTCTGGTTTGAACAGGTATTTAGTTGCTACAGCCGAAGCAGCGGCTGTTCTATAGTTTGATATCAATCTACCATCGATTACCTATAAAAATCAATTGAAAATTCAATAATGAATTGTAAAAAGAATAAAACTAATTTATAGGCAACCAAGAATACGTTCATTTAAACTTACCGACTTTAAAATACCAGTCGAATCATCAAAATGCAAAATACTACCACTGAAAGACGGTAGATTTTTATCTACGTTTTCAGGGTTTCCAGTTAATATTTTACAACACCACGCTCCGTACTTCTTATCTTCTAAACTGCCCGACATGGTAACCATCCATTTCTTTGTTCCTTGAATTTCTGAAAAAACTCTAGAACTTATGGTCACTTTCCTTTGAGACACTGATTTTAATGCTGCCTCAGTCGCTTCAAAGGTTTCAGGCCATGTTAAAATATCGCCAATCTCTTTTTCCTGAAGGTATAACATTTTTAAAAATAATTTAAGTTCTATCTTACTAAAATAATGTGGGAATCGTTTTTATAGCGCGTTATTTCTTTGCGGTTCACCTCTATTTTTGTTTTCTTTCATCAAAACAACGCAAAATGGCAAACAAAGATATAACCACAAAAATAATAACATTTTTATCAAGGCTAGATTAAATAATAAAATGTTATTAAAGATATACACATGATATACACCTTGTTTTAAGAGTTGCATATATACTTTAATCATAGAAATAAACATTTTCGGTATAATAAATTCTGGTTTTACTACTATCCAAGAGATGGCACAAGAAAAGTTACTAAAATAATTTAGCCTAAACAAAAGTAAATCGTGTTGGTATATTTACAATTTAACATCAATAAATTCTATTTATGTTTTTTTTATACTGTTGAGGAATAAATTAATATTTTTTTGTTTGATTTAAAAATTCATTTTAGTTTCCTATTTCTAGTTCCTATAATGATTTATAGATGGCAAAACGGTCTGTTTAGTTTGTCATTTTGACTTTGACAACTGCGCCGAGATTTTTGCAAACGATAGCTTAAAAAATATATAAAAGGATACGGAGAAATGCATACTCATAAAACAGATGGAAAGCACATTGTGAATAACAAGAAATAATACATATTTACAAGCTATTTCTAAAAAAAATTAACACTATCGCCACGTAAGTAATTGGTAATTTAACCATACTTTTTTACAGTTTTTTCTTTGTTATTTCAGGATGAGTTCAGACATGATCGCTGACGAAAAGAGTTTACAAGATCTCCTTTCAACATTTTGCGACGATGTAATACCGAAGAACGATGTGGACTATACCGTTCCCGAAACTATCCAAAATTATCGAAAAACTATAGAATCAAATAAGGAAGTTAGTATATTCGATGCTGATTATTGCACACCAAATGATTTGGATGATCATCCAGAAAACGCTTGCAGTACTAGTAGTAGTAGTAATAGCGGTACCAATAATAATACCTTTCCAAAAGACGAGAATTTAACTTATGTTCTATCTGGCAGGGGTAGAGGAGGTAGAAACACTGTTTATAAACCTGGGGAGAGTATAAATAATAGTATAGAAAGTGATGACATAACTCAGCAAATAAGAAAGGTAAGAAAAGGTTAAATAAGGGAAAAAATATGTATATAGTTCAACTGAAATGTTTCTAGCTTCATGTGTTGGGTTATAGTAACGAAATAACCGAATTATCGGTGAAAGCTCATCAATTATCAAAGAAATCGAACCAAGGAAGCACGACAAGTAATTCACCGATCACCCTAAGCAACAACACAAACAGTAGTAGTCCAGAAATGTTTGCAGATGTGGAATCGAGTGAAACATCTAAAGAAAACTTGGTAGAGGAGACTCCAGAGCCGAAACCGGCTCCTCCGCTTAGTGTCTTGCTTAGACAGGCTCGCGAAGACGTGAAAAATAGGAAGGCCAAACAAGCGATGAAAGAATTAAACGGTAGTCCTGCCAAAAACCAGAAAATTTTAAAGGAAAAAAATGAATCTCCAGTTAGTAGAACGTCGTCTTCTATGTTAAATGTTAGTCCACCGAATAGTTTTCTGTTTGTAACCAATGATAGCAAACCGATAAATATAAGCTCGGAAGAAGAGTTTCCGCCGTTATAAAAAAAATTAAACGTTATATATCTTCAGTTTCATTTACCTGACTTGCATATATACATTATTTGTCAATGAAATTTGCTGTAACATGTGTATACAGGGTAAGTCTTAAATAAGTGCAAATATTATTAGGGGTGGAATATTTCGACCCTCGAATCTTCATTCGTTTAAAGACAATCTCTTGATTTTTTTTGTACAACTCATAGTTTTTGCTTAAAAAAAATAAATCCATGATGTAAACAAATAAAAGAATCATTACGTCATACTTCTCTTATGAATAATTTCGATTGTCGAAAAATTTAGCCTTGATGTTTAAAGAAAATAATTTTATTTTAAGCTTTGAAAAATTGTCAATATAATTTTATTTTTTGGATATTTTTTTTTTGTTTGTAATATGAAGATATAAAAAGAATATACAGGACGGTTAGATGTTCTGAAAAAGCTCCATATCAAGTTTTCAATTTGATAATTTAAATTCTGTTTATATTTTCATCGATATACAGGCCCATAAAAAAGCCTAGTATGTCTCAAGAAATTTGTTTATCATTTTTTCTTATTATTGTTTATGAAAATAGCAGGAATGTTTTTGTTTTGATGATGTTTAGAAGTATCCCCTTGACCCAGTATAGAGTGATATTGATATAGTCTGTAAAACGAATAACTTTGAATTTGACAGTTCCCGCGGGCTTTTCTAGTGTTAATTTTATTAGGTTAGCAACTTGCGGCCATGCTGACGCAATGCCGTCTCTAATAGAACAGCCCCGGTGCGAGATTTATGACGTCACGCTAGTTAGATACTACGGATTAATAAATATGTTGTAGAATACATGGAAAACATAATTATTCCTCGTATTTTTGGTTTGTATTTTAAAAATGATATAGTTTACATGAAATATACATAATATACAGTTAATAAATACAATATATATACCTATTTATAGTAATAAATACTTTGGCAGATAAATTATGACCCATACAAATGCAGCAAATGTTTTACAATGTGGCTGAAATCGTACTCCATAGTCAATGTAGATAGTTTTTGTGTTAAGAATAATAATTTAAAAAAATATGTGGTCATCTTTCGACAAGTTTATATTAGTTTATTAATTGCAGTAAACATTATAATATATAAAAAATTTTGTGAATGCAAATAATAATACATACATCACTATTAGTAAATATTGAATGTTTTTTGTTAAATTAGATCGATTTTCAAACCCCAAAATTTAAGATATATTTTACATTTTACCCATTATCTTATGTACCACCTATTCATTATTTGTATATTGTAAAACATTTGCTGCATTTGTATGGTTCATAGTTTATTTGCTAAAGTATGTTTTACTTATATAAAAGTATAATTAAAATGAAAAGTAAAACAAAACGGCCGAAATCTACGTTCAAGGTAACAAAATAGAATTTTTATTGTGGTTAAATGGACGTTCATAATGTGACTATATTTTTTTTTAGTAATAAATTTTGATAAAGACCCTACCAGGTCGAAACATCAATGAAATTTTTAATATAAAAAAAAACTGTTTTTCTCATTGTTTACCTGACCTAAAGCCAAGAAAAAATTAAATAAAAAAAAAGTATAAAGTATTTGCCTACTATAAATAGGTATATATTATATTGTATTTATTAACTGTATATTATGATATTTCATGTAAACTATATCATTTTTAAAATACAAACCAAAAATACAAGGAATAATTATGTTTTCCATGTATTCTACAACATATTTATTAATTCGTAGTATCTAACTAGTGTGACGTCATAAATCTCGCTTCCGTGGCTGTTCTATTAGAGACGGCATTGCTCTAATATTTAGAAATGTCAAAAGCTGATGACATTTTACTTTTGTCAATTATGACATTTCGTGTTGATTTTTGCAAGAAGAGGAAGAACTGTCACTTTTTTGACAGAGGGATTTTATATTTGCCATGTTGGTAAAAAATAACGGTCAAAATTCAAAAGTTATTCATTTTATAGACTATAAAAAAAACATTCCTATCAGGGGCGGATACAGGAATTTATTTTAGGGGGGCCCAAATAAAAAGTAATGTAGAATATGCTTTTTAGGGCGCCATTTTTTTGAGATTTTAGGGGGGCCTGGACGCCATGGGCCCCTCTGTGTCCGCCACTGATTCCTATAATATTTTTGATCTATTTTAAAGCAAAAAGTGATACAAAATTGTCGTTATGATTGGTTTTATTAAATGTATAGTGGTCAACCAAAAAAAAATGTAGTTTTATATACCTTTATTAAAAATTTTAAATAATAAAATTGATGTATTTTTATTTTACCTAAACACATAGGCGTCGCCAGGATTCATTTCAGGGGGGTTGCCTGTGCGTTGACAAAGTTCACTGTCGTATGTAAAATTAAGCCATCCGATCGAAAAAAAACGGCGTCAAAGATAGCTGGAAAATGGCAATCCATGATAATTTTGGCAAGGTCTTAACGAAATTTCTCGGGATTTATAAAAGATTTTTCTTGATTTAAGTCTATGGATTTTCACGGGGATTTTAACAAGATACTGTCTCCTCAATGAACACCTCAGTATATTAAAGCTAACACTGTATAGCACTGATAAAAAATATTGAAAAGTTAAAAAAAGCATGTCTTACGTTATTAGAAATCCTGGCGCATTCGCCAAATTCTTCAATTTTAACGTCAAAATACAAACCATTGCCTGGAAACTTATATGGTGAAATTTTGATAAAATAATTTAGTACTCACTAAAAACACGGTATGTCGCTAGTGGTAGGAAAAATAATTTTTAGAGGTTACTAATTTATTTGGTTGCCTGTGATATGCATATACAGGGTGTTTCCTAATTAATCTAAAAAATAAAAAATTGTTAGAAAACGGTTTAAGGCGGGCTCTTAATAAGTATATTTATTTTTTCGGCAACCGTTTGATGAACAAGAAAAACTCAAAAGATCAATTTTGTTGAAAAAGGATGGCCAGTCAAGAAAAAAATATATTTTCTTTAAAAAAGCAGTAGTGTACCATTTATTTTAAGCAAAATATCGATTTTTTTTTTAATTTTTAAAACACTGTAGATCAGAAAGGAAGTACTTTAAACCCAATGGTTATATAAAAATTGTTTTAAGAACACATGAGGAATCACACCACAATTTTTTAAACTAATTAGAAAACACCCTGTATATTGTCAACTTGACAATGATTGTTGATAAATCAAAAAATACCTTTTCTGTGAAAAATCCCTATTTTTGCAGGAAAAATTTTGGTTTTTATTGAATTTGAGGCTGCGTCTGCAAATACCGGTATGTTTTTTAATATTCTATCTATCTAAATTTTAAATATCATAGTCAGAAATAGTTTTATTATTTATTAACTGTAAAAATGGTATACTTATAAGTTTTATCAAATATTGTGATTTACTTTCTACCTTGTAGTCAAAATTGATATTTAATAAACTGTAAAATATATATATTCTTATGTTTTATTAAAGTTACTATGATATACTAATATATCAGTGTAACTTTAAAAACTAAATCCTTTGAAATCAAATATAAACATAAAAAATATTTACAGCAGAAAAGGCGAAGGCGCTGGGTTAAACGTAGTCTCTACTAAGAACACGGAGGGGCGCTTTGACCCAAAATTTTACTATTAAGTTTCATATCTATCTTAATAGAAGATTATTTTCTTTTATCTATGATACAAACCTACCCTTATAATGTCAAAAGAATGACACATTCTTGACACAAATATCATGGAAGAGATCGTAGCATATCTACAAGAAGAGTGTGAATTAAACGAGTCAAACAAATCTCAAACAGAATGTTCTACGTTGATAGAACTCGCCAGTTCAGAACACAATCGAGAAAAAACACGTTCAAAAAGCTTGAAAGTCTTTCAAAAAATCACCAACGACACAGAAAGCTACGAGGGTTCTTTGGTACTGAACAATTTTCACGGCCATGGGTTCTACGACGTGGAAAAATCACTAGAAAAGTATTTTTTCGACGGCTGGTTCTATGCCAACAAATTCGAAGGATACGGCCAGATTTTTTACAAAAACGGTTCAAGCTTTCAAGGTTTATTCAAACAACATAAAAGGTACGGTCCTGGATTACTTACCTATCCAAATGGAAGTCAGGACGTTGGACTATGGAACGGGTTTCAGCTTGTCAGGTTATCCAGTACTGTGGGAAGTAATGTTGTTCAAAAGATCGCTTCCTCATCCATGGGAAGGTCTAAGTTGTTAAGTTTCAAGTACTTAATACCTGTTAAAGACGAGAATTCTTATTATGGGCTAAGTTTACTTAAATCCCTTGAAGCAAATGAAGAGATTTTAGGAAAAATTGACGAACTATCAAATAAAAACATCAGAAATATTAACAGCTTGTTCTTTAACAAGCAGTTGTTTGATGAAGAGTTCTATAGAGGTGAAGATTACACCATTCAGGTGTCTTTAGATGATACCGAATGTGATGAAGATATTAAAGAAACAGATGGGTGTTCAGATGATGGAATAAGGATTGAACAGCTGAAAAGAAAAATTTTTGAGGTTGAAACGAAGTTGAAACCTTATATTACGATAAAAATGGATCTTTTGAAGAAAATACAGTATTGTAGGGAGTGTTGTGTGATGAAACAGGAATCTGTATCGGATATAGTTGAAGAAATCTGCGGTAAGTTTTAATAGAAGTGACTCCGAAGCCAGAAATACATCCCTGATTTTTTAGCCGACCATACCAACAGGTATGTGTCTGTCTGTAACACGATAACTCAAAAACCGCTAAACCGATTTTAACCAAATTTGGCACAAAAATACTCTATGGCACCCGAGAATCTGGCCATTAGTTTTCGGTGGGGGTGGGGGTTGGTAAGGGAGTATGTGAGGGGGTTAAAAATTTTAAAAAATCTTAACTCCAAAATTACAGTAGCTAGCGAAACGCGGTTTTCAATTTAAGATTAGGAATAATATTTGCAACAAAATTTGTAAAAACATCAAAATCAGTCAAAGTCGCAGTTTTTGAGATATTAACATATTTTAGTATGGGCGGCTATACGCGCCAATTTTTTAGAAAAAAAAAATTGAAATTTTACATTTTTTCGGTAATTTTAAAGTACACATATTTTATTGCCACAAATTTGTTGGCAGCGTATGCAAGCTGTATTTTGTAAAATTCTACAAATAAAGACACGATAGGCATAGTAAAACTACAGAGTGAGTCGTAAATAAGTGTAAATGTTTTTAATGGTGGTATCACAGTTTAAAGAATATAAAATATATCAGTTGACCCACTCTTCGCCCGTATCAAAACTCCTCCCGCCGCTCCCCGCCTGTCTTGTAGACTTGGGTCAGTCTACATCCGTTGCTCGACGTGTACACAGCGTTCCAAGTTTATTTTAGTTTTGTTTTCGGCCCGACGCACAGGGTGAACCAAAAATAGTGTTTTAGTTGTTTTGTTCGAATTGTGAATAAAATGTCTACTAGAAATATTTGTGCAGTGGATGGTTGTGAAAGTAGAATGACAGACAATATATCGTTCTTTAGGTGCCCAAAAGATGAAGGAAGGTATATGTGTTTATATAGTATAGGATATTAAGTATATAATAATTAAAGTATTAGACATATTAAGTATATTATAATTATGGAAACCTAACTATAAATAAATTGTTTTAAAAATATACATATAAATTAAGAAAAGATTTTACTCGGAATATGCACAAAATATTTATTTTTAACAATTAGTTTATTATTTTAGTTGATATTTTAGAGTAGTAGTCTTTGAATAAGAAGACTAATGAAGGAGCATATCAAAAATCTTAGGTACACCGCGATGAGCCTCAAATATGGCCGACTTAAATTCCGGTTTATCAGTGTCGTTCTGATTTTATTTAAAAAATGTAAAACTATGATGTAGGGTAGACGTGGGGTAGACTCAATAATTTGTTGTTTTATTTTACGTTGTGAATAAATGTTGGTAGTTATTAAAATTGTTATAAAAATATATAATTCTAATAAAAATAGATAAGTTATAATAAGTATTTATTAACACAAACATCCGATACGCTACTGAAGCAGGTAAGTCAAATTAACGTATCTAAATTCTTTGACATCTAATCTTTGACAAGTAATAAATAAAAGCTAAAATGCAAGAAAAATATATAATTTAGTTAATTTAAGTGAATTTCATAAATGATCGGTTTACTACACGTATGTATATTATATAGTCACTTACTAGCGAAAAGTTGTTCCATTATTTCACTCAATTTTTGCCGAGATCTACCGCACGCTACACAACCAACTATTTTAGAGTCTTTTTCTATAAATCGCGACAGTGTCACTGTTAATTTAAGTTCTGCCACAATTTCCATCTAGATTTACTACCTTTATACAACTATCAGTAGTAGAATAAATAATAAATAACATAAAATAAGCTCCATAAAGACTGACAAATCCACAAAATTTCAAATCAAATTCAAATGTGTCAAATGAATCGTCAAACAGAACTGTCAAGGATCCCCACCCTAGAGAGCTTTTATGGTGCCTTTTCCGCCCACCATGCATGAATACATGGATAGCATTATGCTCCTTCCTTAGTCTTCTTATTCAAAGGTAGTAGTAGATACTTTACTATTATGTTTGGGATTTTGCAGTATTTACCGGTTTGCAAAGTGCATATTAAATTATTATTTAAGATATTTGCATTTTTTTAAATAGCATGTTTTACTTTTTAGATGTTTGTATTTAACTTTAACTACCTACCTGGAAAGTCCAAATTTTATCGTCAGGTAATAAAAATACGTGCATACAACTTCTTCCGCTATTGACAAGTTTTTACTAAATTTTACGCACAGCTTAATAAAGATTTTTGCAAAAGAGCATCCATGTAACAAAATTAACATGAATAAATTAGTATTATAAGATAATGTACTTAACTAAAATCCGTTTTTTATTTCACATTTCAATTTATATCGTATTTATATTTGTAAACAATGAGATATGTTATTAAATAATAATAAGCAGAAAGTAAATAAATATTGATCAATTATTAAAGACGCCTAAAACTGTATTTTGATTTTTCTACTTGCTGTATTCAAATTCCTTAGTATTTTTAGTTGATCCCTCGTATACGGCCAGCGTTCTGACTGATAAAATATCACTTCCGCTGCACCCGGTAAACGTACAAATTTTTTGTCACCTCGAAGGGTCACGGGCCGCCTTTGAAGTCAAAATAACAATAGAATTCCTTAGAGTGGGTCAACTGATATATTTTATATTCTTTAAACTGTGGTGGTATATTAAAAAGAAAACCTAGAAAAAAATCTACTGGTTCTCAATAAAATTTAAGCAAGATTTATTTTTAAATTTCGAAGTAAATTAACTCGGATATTGTGGACTTTTTGAAAAAAGGCATAGAGAAAATATGTGTTTTTAACGAGATCTAGCAGCCCTGAAAATGTTTGCACTTATTTAAAACACACCCTGTATAACTGAAATATTATTTCCTAAACCTAACGTGACGCTGCTTCTTTTTATTGTTTAGTAAGATATTTTGTATTATCAATTTCCAGATAAAGACTCGGAACCCAAAGATGATGGTTCGTTCGACACATTAAAATTTCTTGATTTCCGCATGTCAAGAGCTGATGCTATGCCGCCCGTTTTTGAAGATGTAAATTACGAAGAAATGATGCAAACCGCCCAAACCAGCGACGAAGTGAACCTGGAACCGTGTTTTTGCGAAGACGAAAACAAATCTCGAGACCTACAATACCTAGAAGACCAACTGAGCAACATAGAACAGCGAGCAGCCTTCTACCAAACCATCTACGATAATTTAACTCAAAAACTAAACAGATTTTTAGAAAAACAAAAAGAAAAATTGACTCAAGAAACTCACCAACAAACAAAAAGCGTTTGTGTCGAAGAACTATACGCCTGGAACAACGAAGAGCTCATCATGGACATGGAGAAACACTGTTTCAAGAACAAAAATTTGGAGAACGAGGTTAACTTCGATGTGAGGAGTTTGATTTTTGATGGGAGAAAGAATTTTGGCCAGGCAGGACAACAGGAAGCGCTTTGTCGTGAGTTTTTGGGTGCTTGTGCGAAGGGAAACAAAAAAATAGTGTTGCAGTGTTTGAGGAATGGGGTTAACCCAAATGTTACCGATTCTAACGGCAATAACGCAGTTTTTTATGCAGCATCTCAGAATCAACTGGAAATTATACCTATTCTAACTAATTATGGTGCTAAGCTTGACCAAATCAACGATGAAGGAGTTACACCATTGTCACATACTTTTCTAAGATACATTTCTGTGAAAAACGGAGTTTTAACTTGGGAAAAAGCTTTTTTACCAGTGAGAAACAACTTTTTGAAAAAGACAGATATGATAGAATGGTACAGGAAGACTTCAATGTCCAGTCTTTCATCTCTCTTATCCAAATCTTCCTCAATTGAAACAGGAAGCTTGGATCTGTCCAATTCCAGAATAACATTTCTTCTGAGGAGATTGTCCAATCTTGAGCTTCAAAACGAGAACTTTTTACAGAAATCTAAACCAGAAAGTTACATTTTTGATTTTAGTTACAAGAAGAATGATATTTCTAAGGAGATCAAAGATCACGAGCAAACCATCGAGCTTAAATCAATATATTTGACTCTATTGGCTCTGTTAGAGTACGGAAGTGACCCGAACATTGGAGAAGTACCTTACGAAGTCCTGTTTTTGTCTTTGTACACTGAAAATGTCGATTTGGTACTGGAAGTTCTTAAATGTAATGCTAACGTTCAAAGTACGATTACTGAAAATAGTTTAACTTGCCTTCACGTCGTTACTTCTCTGGATAAAACCATGGAAAATATGAAAATATGCCAGGTTTTGCTTAAAAATAAATGCGATCCAAATAAAAGAACATCTGAGTTACACTGGAGGGAGCAGAAAGAATATTTTACTGGGAATATACCCGAGAGCGTTGAAATAGAAGATGAGGGCAAGAATGTTTTGCATTTGCTAAGCATGCGTCAAGATTTTCAAGACGACTTATACAGTTATTTCCCAAATATGGCCAGGCTGTTTATTGAATTTGGAGTGGATTATCATGCTAAATATCTCGGACACACACCTTTATCTCTGGCTGTACTAGTGGGTAACGTCAAACTAGCCAGTTATTTTATTAAAACTAACTTGTTCAATCCATACGAAGTACTGCCATACAATACGGGCAATATCCTAACCCTGTATGGTTTAAAAAGGTTTGAAAACCGACTGTCCATGGATAAATGCAAGGAAATGCTTAGAAGCCTTTGTGAAATCGACGTAAACTTCTTGAACCCCGTAGACGAAGCAGAAAATGCTCTGGACTTTATAGAAAAAGGTGACGAATTTTATAAGGTCGATGACAAAACTAAGTCCAAACAAAAACAGCCGAAAACAAAGGCAGAATCAAGCGGTTTGAAGGAATTCATTAAAACTCTGTGCAGAGAAACGATAATGAAACAAATCCAAACGATTGCCACTGATGTTTTGTATGATTTTGCTGAAGAGGGGTTGCTGGAAAGTGAAGAAATATCGAAAATTTTGGCTGAATATCTCACTCCCGAGCTGGTTTTGAGCAACTTAAACGACCTGCTCGGTTTTGGGAAGCTTGACCAAGAAAGGTTCGAAGAAAGGACTTGCTTAAAGCTGCTGGAGTTTGTTGATGTTTACAAGAAAATAACTAAAATCAAAATAAAAAAAGAGAAGAAAGGTAGTAAAGATAAAGATAGCCTGACCAAAGAGAATGCAATGGAAGAGCTTCTATGCAAAGCCAATCTTCCCCAAAAGAATATCATTTCCTCTGATAAGAATTTGTACGTTTTGAAGCCTGGACTGGATGAGATTTCAAAGTACCAGGTGTGCTTTCAGTGTATTAAAGGCAGGGAAAAAGACTTACAGGTTTGCCCGAGATGTCAGTTGGTGTATTTTTGTTCCGTGCAATGTAACAAGGCCAATATGAAACTAAAAAACCTACACACTTGTAATATTTTGTTCTACGATAATGCAGAGTTTAGTTTTGATAATCAAGCATTGTCAGAGCTTGCTTTAACAGTAAAAGAGCAATGCATAGAGCGTTTGGTAGCGAAAAGAGAAGCTAGGTTCAAGATGGAGGAGCAAAAACTATTGGATCTTTGGAAATCTGATACTTACGGTACAAAAATCTTGAAAGTAAAAGCTTTATTGAAGAAAAACAAAGATATCAGAGGGGTTAACTGGAATTTGGCGGGGTTACAGACGTTTATGGGGAAAGAGTTTGAGAAAAACCCTGTCGGGTTTGATTTCGAAGGTTTGGATGAGTTGCAGAGAAGACTGAGCAGGGCCGAGCATATTCAGAGCTTGTCCACTACAAACAAGGGGAGTCAGAAGAGTTCTGGCAGCGAGAAGTTTTTCAGTATGGATGCTCTGACTCAGAAATTCAAAGAACTGGAATCGAAGAAGGATTTGAAGAAGATAAATGTTTGTAGGTTAGTTGATGAGTTTTTTTTTAATTTAATTTCATAGTTGCCTATGGCCATGTAGGATTATTATACAGGGTGGTCGGAATTGTATTCGGGAATCGATAAAAACAAGTTTTTTACTTGTTCGTATAGGCTTGGTACATTTCAGTTGATTCCAACAAATTCCGACCACAGCGCTTCAACGACAGAAATCAGAAGTTACCAGTATGTATTCCACGCCGCCGTATGTTGATCGCGTTAAAATAATATTGAAATAGTGGCTTTGTCATCAAGGGCGTAGATAGGGGGGGGGGTACTGCGGGACAGTACCCCCCCCTGACGCTTGACGAGATACGAGAATTGAAATAGTCATTGACTATGAAAGGATTTTTTTTAATTAATATCCGACATATAAGAACACTTTGTATGCTTTTAATTATGTTGATTTATCGTTTATAATATGTTCGACCTAATTAAAAGCATACAAAGTGTTCTTATTGGCCAGGACAGATTAGTGGGGTTAACTCTAATCAATATCCATAAAGATATTGAAATAAATGTTGATGCTGTTATTGATAGGTTTTCCAAACAGCGTACTAGAAAACTTGATTTTGTTTTGTAGTTTTATTTATAGTTTTTATAGTTTTTTTTATAGTTTAGAGTTTTTTATTTATAGTTTATAGAAAATTAACTAATAAACGTCGTTCATTTTTGTTTATGTTATTTACAAATCTATATTTTAATTTTTGTGTTATGTTTTTATATCTTTTTGAAGACAAAAAAATCGCCGTCGTTTTAATTCGACAAAAAAATTCCGACAGTGATTTTTTTTGCGACTTAATCATAGTACCACCCCCATAGCATACACCTATCTACGCCCCTGTTTGTCATAATATTTAAGCATTTTAGTTTTTTGCTAGTGCGGTTTGAATCAAAATCAATCAATCTATACTAATATACTGATTAATCACGATCCTGCTCAAACCACTCAACGTAAGAAGCTCAATTTTGGCATACAGGTTGATTCTAGGGTGTAGAGGTTCGATAAGAAGGGATTTTTCGAAATTTCAGTTCCAAGAGGGTGAAACCACCCCTCAAATATTACCATATTTTTTATTTAAAAAACGGTCAAGTTTCCGAAAAAACGCTTAAACACGTATATTTTATTTTGTTTTTTTACATATTTTGAGATTTTTTAAAAACGTATACAGGGTGTTTCGAAAAATCTGGTCATTGATTAATCACGATCCTGCTTAAAGCGCTTGACGTAAAAAGCTGATTTTTGGAAAACGGATTGACTTAGGGTGTAGAGGTTCGAGAAGAAGGGATTTTTCGAAACTCGAATTCTAAGGGGGTGAAACTATCCCTCAAATATTAAAATACTTTTTATTTAAAAACCGGTGAGTTTTTGGGAAAAACTCTTAAACACGTATATTTTATTTTGCTGTTTTACATATTTTAAGATTTTTTATAAATTTATATAGGGTGTTTCATAAAATATGACCGTTGAGTAATCACGATTCTGCTAAAACTGCTTGACGTTTAAAGCTGATTTTTGGCAAACGGATTGACTGTGGGGTGTAGGGGTTCGATAAGGAGAGGTTTCTGGAATCTCAAATTCCAAGAGGGTGAAAACGCCCCTTAAAGTAGTTGTTTACGATATTCTCCGATGGTGGCAGCAGCGGCGGAGAATGCACTAAGCCTATAAATAGTCATTTTAATATACATGTTTGTTTTAATTCTTTTTAGGTGCGAAAAACCAAAGAAAAAGCCGGAAAAACGCTACCAACATGGTTTTCCGAAGTTTTCCACTGACTTGAAGCCCGAAAAACTTACAAAAAAGTTTCCAGATCGCCAGCTAGAGGTGAAAACTATGGAAAAGGGGTTTACGGTGAAGAGATTGAGGAAAATTCCATCGAAATTGGCGAGATTCGTGGAAACTTTGGCGCTACATTTTCCGGATATCGATTTCGCTTTTGATATGTTGCCGTACGCGTGCTGCACGGACGGGCAGCTTTACTACAAGTTCTGTACCGACCAGTTTTACCGAGAAAGCTACAGTTTCTCGTAAAATGTTCAGAATAGATATGCTAGAAAATAATAAAAACGATTTAAATTTTGTTTTTTCCTTTAAACTGTTTTCGTCATACTATATTGTTATATTATTATAACATAAGCAAAATCAGAATGGAAAAGATGCATATAACGTCCGCCGGACGTTATCATAACGGCCGGCGGCCGTTAAGTTTCTAAGGTAATCGTAACGTCTGTCACCTGCAACAATGACTATTTATTGTCAGTTGGACTTTTCAAAAATTGGGAAAATAGACCATAGCGAGATGTCGCGAGAAATTCCGTTGGAAATACAGGAGGAAGCGGCTGCGGCTACTCAAAATTATACTTCCGACTATAACCAGAGAGAGATATCAGCAGGAATATGACAATTTTTTGAAGTGGCGGCAGGATAGAAGTATAAACAGCGTAAATGAAGCGGTATTGCTGGCTTATGCTAAAAGAATGTCTGAAATGTATTCTCCTACATCACTGTGGACAAAGATATCCATGCTGAAGCTTGCGTTGAGAGTATATGAAAACATCGACATATCAAGGTAAAAAGCCATTATATTCTTCGATATTTAATCATACTCATCTAAATTATATTTGTTCATAGATTTGGTAAACTGTTCATGTTTCTGAGGGCAAAAACGAAGGTTATTCACCAAAAAGCCAAAGTTCTGTCGGAGAATGACATAAATAATTTTCTACTGGATGCCGATGATTACACCTGGTTACTCGAAAAAATTGTATTGGTGCTTGGTATTCTTGGAGCTTGTAGGCGCAGCGAGCTTTGGTCACTCACAGTTGATGATTTCGAAGATTCGGAGAAAAATATATTCTTGTCTCATTAAGAAATACTAAAAATAAGAAAGATAGGAAATTTCTTATTCCAAAAACGGGCCTTCCGTTTGATGCCTATGGTTTATACAAAAATACATCAACCTGCGTCCTCGTAACTTTGTCAATCCAAAATTTTTCATTGGTTACAAGAAAGGCAAGTGTGTTAAGCAAATCGTCGGTATACATACCATCGGGAGCGTACCGCAGAAAATTGCAAAATTTTTGAACTTGGAGAATCCAGAACGTTATACAGGGCATTCATTTCGTAGATCATCAGCAACCATGCTCGCCGAAAATGGTGGTGATTTACTATCGCTAAAGGAGCTAGGAGGATGGGAGTCTTCAACAGTGGCAGAAACTTACATAGAAAAATCAGTTTCCAAAAGAATGAAAATAACAAATCAACTTTTTCATGATAGCTCCAAAATAATGTTTCTTTAGTGGATACAAATATTTGCCATTCTTCAGTAGCATCATCTTCTTCTATAAAATCTGTAAATCCCTGGGAAGGATTACAGATTTCTAAGAACAACAAGTGCACTTTTAATTTCCATGTTCATTATCATGAATAAAATGAATTTTAGTATAAGACATTATGTATTTTTTATCCTTACTTGTGTTATTGTTCAATAAAATTTGTTATTAAATAGTAGTGTTTATTGCTCTAAAAAATCTGCAGTATGACGAAAAATCTAGAACGCAACACGGCCGATAACAAATAACGGCCTTGGCTGCTTATGATCCTCGGCTATCGCCTCGGATCACAAACTTCAGCCCGGCCGTTATTTGTTGTTTATCGGCCTTATTACGTTAATAACTATAAAATCGTCTTATATCTATCAAAAATAGTAGATAAAATAGTACTTGAACCGCAAGGGTAGATTAAATGACACTTTAACAGCGAGGATGGGATAAAAACTTTATTTCTTCTCGCACGTTTTTTGGATATGGCTTTTGTCGCCTCACCCTGAATATCTGTTGGTAATTTACTTATTTCGTTTTGAGCCATTTCTGGATCCAATTCAATCAGCAATCGACACGAAAGAGAATTAAAAAATATTGACCCAAAACTGACAACTAAAGAGACAGCTTTATTTATTTCACAAAACATCCCCCTTTAGAACTTCGTCTGTCATGTTAAGAAATTAAAGTAAATAATAATGCGCCTCTCGTGTTTGTTCGCACACAAAAAAATTAATTTAATGCCCTGTATATATTTTTAATAAAAAAAGAAGAAAAAAGATTAAACGGCTCAGCCCTCAACAACTCGTAACCGTATACACCAGTGTACACCAGTGCAGACACGCACACCCACACACTCACACAACCACACCTACACTAGTGCACACTGATGTAACTGCCTTCAGGCTTCATCAGTACGGTAAGGATTCAGGAAGCGAAGAAACCGATCCCAAATCACAAAAATCCAGGAAGCAAACGATGCAACGAGGCACCGTGTTCAACCCAGGAGATGGGAAAAAAAATTTGATGAAGAAACGAAAATAAACGATGGAAAAAAAAGGAGCAAACTATTTCTTTCTCTTTTATATTTTTAATATATATTTTAAATTTACATTTTTTTAATTGTAAAGTAATATATTACATTTAAATGGAATATATTACATAACAATTATGTCAATTACAGGATTACAAGCTTGTTTTCTAACATTTTTTAAATAAAACGAATTATAAAATTTCAATATATGTATATTTGTCGTAGGTATGAAAAAAGTAAAATATACTGAAACTTCCGCGGCTGACAACGAAAACTGAAAAATATAACGGCACTTTTTGTTTTGGACCTGCATATCAACATTATGCTGTACTATTATGTGTTTGTTGTTGAAATAATATAAAATATCTAATTATAACTTGTAAATTTTAATATTTTAACATGATTTTAACTACTTTTGACAATAACTAACTTTTTGTTATTAAGATGACATTTTAGATGGCAACTGACATATATGTCATAATATTTGAATCTTAAATATGTATGTAATATAATTTAAATTACTATAATGCAACTTTATACTAAGAAAACATTTATACATTCACAAAATACAACAAAATCTAATAATATAGTTTGAAAACAATGAATATTGAATTAAAATTGAAAAAGTTAAGCGCGACCCCTTGTGTCAAAATTAGATGATTAAATTTTCGCAATTTTTACACCATTTGATGACCTGTGGCGCCTCTACCCAACTAGCAAATATAGTTCCCAGTCCTTTTTAAAATGTCACTGCCCCTAAAGTATAGTTCCTGGGCCCACTCTGCCACTTCAAATGTTACTCTATGAGGAATAGTCACTTTGAAGTATATTTCGAGAGTGACCGGTTAGTCCCTACCTACAATAAAAGTGGAAAATAAACACCCCGATTGCAAGTCGCAAACATGTAATTTAAAGAAGTGGCTGGAACTACCCGAATCTTCAAATATGACACCATAAAAGACCAAAAACTTTATAGTAACTTTTCAAAGTAGCGGTTACTAACAAGTGCTACCATAATGCCTCCATTAAGTTTTTGTTACTTTATAGTAACAATTTAAGTTACGGGGTAGTCGCGGCCACGACACCTAGTTACTTCTAATTTATAGTAGCATTGAAAGTAGCAAAATGGTTACTGCTACCTTCCTAGGTCACTATAAAGTAGCCGTCGCTCATCCATTGCCACTAAAAAGTCACGGGGATCAAAAACGGCTACTTTATAGTGACTATAACTTAATATACCCTAATAAATGTACATGCCTCAGACTGCATCGTGTACTGCTCTGTTTTAGTGTTTGTTTACTAGCTTTTAAGCTTTATTAAAATTTTGTAAAATGCCTAAGGTGAATAAAAAGAAATTTAGGTATTCTAGTACTTTCTACCGAAGAATTAAACAAAAGGAATCACTGCGAGCCGAAGCATCAACATCAGAAACAAAAACTACATCTTTCTATAATCCTACCGATGAACATCATAAATCAGGTAGTGACTGTGATATTTTTGAAACTGCTTCTGAAGATGAGTGTAGTGTTAGTTTATCTGAAACTGAATCTCAGAGGAGAACTAATTTGGAAACCAACAACAATATAAAACAAGAGCTAAAAGAGTGGGCGTTAAAATACTCTATACCTCATGTAGCTCTGAACGATTTATTGAGGGTACTGAAAAACGAACTCGAACTTGAAGAATTGCCAAGGGATAGTAGAACTTTAATTGGAACACCAAGCTCTTGTCCCATAAGAGCCATGGGCGATGGCCAGTTTTGGTATAATGAAGTGCAAAAAAATGTATTGTCCCTTTTACAAGCGTCCTATTCGTCCTATTCGGCGTCCTATTCTGTTAGCCGTCGCGTCTCCAAGTGGGAACTTCAAAGGACAAGGCGGAACGATATAGTGGCACCAATGGAATGTATAGTCGCCACCAGGGCCGTCGCTAGACTTTGGGCCGCCCGGTGCAAATTTTTAAATTGCCGCCCTTATATTATATATAATAAAAAAATAATTAAGTTAAAAAAATCTTTATTAAAAAATAGAAAATAGAAAGGTTAATGATAAATACACACATCCCATATGATCCTAAGAAATGGCCTCAAATTACCTTAGAAATGACAATCGATTAAATTTTATATGTAAAATTATATGAGGAATGTCATCGATCATAATTTCTGTTTTTTTTTCGATTATACGGGACTAGGATACTTACATAGAACACCTACATTTTCGCAAATTTTCACACACATTTTCACAAAGTCTAATTATAATGACAAATTCTCTATTTTTTTATAAACTATAGGGTGTGTCATTTCAATTAGCAGGGAAAATAACATTATATTTAGTTTCGACCCTATTACCAAGCAATTTTGACCGTCTATACCGGGTGTTTCTAAAAAGTGGCTCACTGCTATAACTTTTTTTAATTTTTCAGATAAAAAAACGAGATTTGGTACGTGAGTATATGACATAAATCAAGATTGATTGACGTATTCAATTGTTTTCGATCACGTCCTCTTTTACCGGAAATTACTACAACTTTTGATTTTTAAATGCCACCCTCCGTATTTTTTTACTTTATTTGATAGAAAATGGCACTTTGAATAGAATGAAATATCAGATGACATATTCGCATTTAGTTTATTTGAAATTGTAAAATGCGGTTCATAACGACAATTTGATTCGAAATACCAAGTTGAAAAAGAATCAATATAATCCAAAG